GGGAGAAGCATGCTGAAAGTAGACTATAGACCAAACATGATTGCCACTCAATGTTTCTTTTGCAAACCACAACACCCAAAAGGAGAGAGAGAACAGAGGGGAATGCCCTGCCACAGAGATAGGGTGGGATGGGGGGTGGGAGGGATACTGGGATCCGTGGTGGTGGGAAATGGGCACTGGCGGAGGGATGGGTATTTAATCATTGTATAATTGAAACCCAAGCACAAAAATGTGTAAGTCTGCAACTGTACCTCATGATGTCTCACTATTAACAAATATTTTAATAAAAAAATAAATAAAAAGGCAAAAAAAGTTATATGCACCTCTATGCTCACTGCAGCACTTCACACAATGGCTAGGATATGGAAACAACCAAATATTCAATGAGAAATGAGTGAATAATGAAATTATGATTATATCACGATGATCATGACCATCCTGTTGTTCGTCAATTGACTCGAGCAGGCCCCAGTAACGTCTCCTTCATCCTAGCCCTGAGATTATATTCAAGGCTCTTTAGGAGAATGAGACCCATCATTGTTACTGGTATTTGGCATATTGGGTACGCCACGGGGAGTTTTCCAGACTTTGCCGTGTGAGCAGGTTACATTCAGTAGCCTGCCAGTTTGTCCAAAGTAAGAATGAGATAATAAGAAGGTTTCCAGGAGCTGGGTTTTACAGTCTCTGGGTCTTGGCCATTGATGGGATTACATGGCGCCAGGGGGCCAGTTGGTGGGTGTGACCCCTGCCTACTGGAATATGGAGGATCTGGGTGGAGGATGCTCAGCCCTGATCTGAGCAGGTTTGGAGATCTCAGCCCCGGGACCTGCATGCCTTTGTTCCTCTGCCGGTACCTTCGTGTGTGTGGAGAGTGGTCTCAGCATGTTGGTATGATTATATACATATGATTATGATTATATATACAATAAAATATCATGCAGCCACAAAAAATAAAATATTGCAGTTAGCTTCAAGACAGATGGAACTGAAGCTACCAGGTTAAGGAAAGTCAGAGGGAGAAGGATGCATACTCATGATCTTACTCATCTATGGCACACAGAGATAAGGAAACAGACATTACTGAATGAGAACTGACACTTGGGCTTGGACAACAAAACTGACATTCCCCAGCAGTGAAGGAGGTGCTGGGGGATGAGGAGGTGACCTGAACTAATGGAAGGACAGGGGTAGAAGGCTTGGAGCACTTGGGTGGCGTGAAGTGCAACAACATAGTACATCAAAACTAAAAATGCTAACACTATCGTAACCATGTCACCTATACTACAATTAAATACTAGAAAGGATGTTCATAGAAGTAAACTCTATGTTACAATATGTTGGTTGGAATGTGCACTGGTGAGTCATTATGGAAAATATTATAGAATATTCCTAAAAATATTAAAAATAGAACTACAATATAACCCCGCAATATTCAGGTAGATATGCAAAGGAAATAAAAGAGGACATTAAGAGAGGTCTGTAGTCCTGTGCTCAGTGCAGCATTATTCGTAAGAGTGAAGACACAGACACAAGCTACGGCCTTCCGGCAGATGGAGGAACAAGCCAGACACAGAGTACAAGAGCAGACACGCACGGAGCAGAGCATTTCTCAAGCAAGAGAAAGAGGGGGTTGACTACATGCATTATTATGGGTGAAATTTGAGGGTATTATGCTAAGAGGGAAAAGTCAGAGGAAAAAGCAGTATGAATATATGAAACACATTAAACATAACTCAAAACAACAAGCAGACAAAAAATGAAGGCTCTGGAGACTGGAGGGTGGAACACCTGAGGAAATAATGCTGAAAGGGCACAACTTCTATTTATAAGAGAAACACATTCTGGAAAGTTAATGTTCAGCATAATGATTATAGTTAATAATACTGTAGGATATGTTTAAAAGTTGCTAAGAGACTATATATTTGAAAACCTTTTATTATTGGGACTGGAATGATAGCACAGAGGGTAGGGTGTTTGCTTTGCATATGGCCGACCCAGGTTCGAGTCCCATCATCCCATATGGTACCCTGAGCACTACCAGGAGTATTCCTGAGTATAGAGCCAGGAGTAATCCCTGTACATTGTCAGATGTGACCCAAAAAGCTACAAAACAAACAACAAAAACCTTTTTATTATTGCATTAACATGGGTTAAAAGTGTTAATGTTTATACTTTAATTGTACAAAGTTACTGCACCTCCATCATCAACACAACGCCAAATACCCTCCACCACCACCTTGCACCATTTATAATCAACCTTTCTTCCGCTATAGCAGCTTCCCCTCACCTTAGTAACCTGAGTTTTGTGGTGAGAGTACAAAGGTTTGTTTTCATTGGATACGAACTATTCCTTTACTTGGTTGCTTGCATTCTACATGTGTCACTGTCACTGTCCTCCCGTTGTTCATCAATTTCCTCGAGCGGGCCCAGTGAGACTTGTTGTTACTGTGTTTGGCATATTGAATATGTCACGGGTAGCTTGCCAGGTTTTGCCCTGCATGTGAGATACTCTCAGTAGCTTGCCAGGCTCTCTGAGAGGGGCAGAGGAATTGAACTCGGGTTGGCCATGTTGGCCGCATGCAAGGCAAATGCCCTACCGGCTGTGCCATCACTCCAGTCCACATATAAGTGAGATTAACCAAAACTTGTCCTTCTGACATTTCATTTGGCTTGATATACTTCAGTTCCATCCAAGCTAGAGCAAAATCCAAGATGTCCTCTATTTTACAGCTGCATAATACTCCACCATTTCTTCAATGATCTGTTGCTGATCATGGCTACCATAAACTGGAGCATAGATGTGCACATATCTTTTAAAATTTATGGTTTTGTATTCTTGGGATATTCCAAGAAGTGGAATTACTGAATCACTGACATTAATTTTATCTTAATTTTTATTTTAAAAAGTCTCCTTACTGTTTTTCACGGAAGCTGAACCATATGACATTCCCACCAACAAAGAATGAGGGTTCCTGCTTCTCTGTATCCTTGCCAGAGCTGGGTACTCTGGCCTTTGAGATAAAAGACAGTATCTTAAATGTTTTTCCCACAAAAAAAGAAATGGTCATTTTGTTACATGATGAGGGTGTCAGCTAGTATTATGGTGGTGATTATTTTGCAATAGGAAAATATTAAATGAATGCTTTAAACTTACACAACGTTGTATGTCAGATAAACCTCAAGAAAGCAAGAGAAAAGGTTTACACAATGGTTCTAGTGAGCACTAACAAAAGAATGGATTTATGTGAAGGCACTGGGAACAGAAATATCCTTCAGAGAATCAAAAGGATAGCGTGACTGAGGTTTTTCAACTGACAAGGGGTTAATGACATTCATTCACATCAGAGGTACAGCACAATGCCTGGCCTAGAGTAAGTGCTTAAATAACTGTCGTTGCTTTTATGTTGAGCTTCAGTACCCTAATAGGGTGATTTTACTTTTTAATTTTAAGACCTTTACCCTCCCCACCACCACCACCATTAGTAGAGAATAAAATCAAAATGCATTTGAAGCTACAGTCTGAGTAGGAGAACAAGGCTTGTCTTAGTATTTCTCTCTGTCTCAGTGTAAAAATACATGAAAAATACATATAAATAAGGTAAAGAATAAGGAAACAAAGGAACAAGTGACATGGAGTAAAATCTTCCATCTCCCAACCTCTGATTAAACAGAAAAGTGCTCATCAGAAGCCTTAGAAAGCAATTTGAGATTTTTATCCCGAGAAAGAATCAGAGAAACACATAGTTGATCCATACTTGCATAAGCTGACCCAAGTAAATAACATTTACCAAGGAAAATTCACTGTAGCAAGAGAAGCAAAAGGTTTTTATCTCCCTATTATACCAGAACCATTTTTCTTCAACCTGACAGCTCTGCAATTAGAGTCCAAGTCCTCTGCTGTTAGGGCTTTTTCCAAGTTGGTTTTGTCTTTTTACTTTTTTTTTTTTTTTGCCAAGACTCGTATAACGTGGGCAGTTCCTCACATGAGACTCCTGCTAAGAAAACTGACCAAGCCCTTGGGCTTTAAGCCACTCACAGGCCTGCAAGGGTCTTGTTGCTCCTCTGGTCTTTTCTTAAGAACTGAAACTCCCAACAATGACAGGGAGGAAATATACATCCTATTCCATGCAAATAGATTCTCTTGACTATTATGCTGTCGTTCCTCTCTAGCTGCTGTAGAAGATAGAATAGAGTGCTCCTGCCATACACAATTATATCCATTACTAACAAACAAAAACTAAAACCTCATGTTTTGCAAAATTCAATACTAAGAATAATTGGGGGGAGGAAACAGTTTTGAAACTCTAAACTACAAACCTATGAAACTTCTAATCAGAATAAAATGTAGTATTTGATAACTGGAGTGTCAATCTGGTCACTATGGTGGCAGATGTTTCAGCATATTAAATAAGTGCAGATATTAAACATACATGAAGACAGTAAGAGGGAACACAGCAAAGCTTTAATTAGAGTCAAGACTGGTGGGTACGGTGGGCACAGCAAGAGTCTTGAAAAGATGTGAATCTAGTGAAGGACCCCTGAGGCAAGAGTTCCTGAGACCACACATAAGTACACATTCCTGGGGCAAGTGACCTTTGAAATGCATTCACATGCACACACCAATGTACGCGCGCGCGCGCGCGCGCGCGCGCACACACACACACACACACACACACACACACACACACACACACACACCCCTGAGGAGTTTTTCCTGTCCTCCTCCCACCCCCACTTACTCCTTCTGCCTACAAAATTCAGCATAAACCCAAATCACTCTGCTAGTCATCCTGCCCCTTTTGACCACTCATGGATGACTCAATAAACATGAGATGAAAGAGCAGCTGAGTTTCCCCGGGTCCTTGCAGGAAGTGGCCTGAGCAGATAAGTGTCCTCTGAAGTCATTTCACAGTTGAATCCCATCCTATTCCCTTTAGAGTGATAATCCCCGGAGAATGATGTCACCACAGAATCAAAAAGGAACGTACAGAAATACTTACATGTAATATGTTGGATAGAGTCCTTCAAAATACCAGCAATGTTTTTTGGCCTCTGTGCACTGGAAATAGAAGGAAGCAAAAGTTTGTCAATAGCAGTTAATCTGCAAACTGTTGAGACCTCATCAAAACAAGCAAGAAAGGATGAATGGATTTTGTTTAAACATGAAAAACTGAAGCCCAGGAGAGATAATGAGTTAGCAGAAGAGCCACTCCACCATGACTTTATTTCCTACAATTTTTGAAAGAAAAACTCACATCAGGGCTGGAGAGAGAACACTGCAGACATGGGGCTTGCCTTGCACATAACTGACCTGGGTCCAGTCCTGGGCACCCCATGTGGTCCCCCAGCACCACATTGAGCAATTCCTGAGCCAGAACAGGAAGTAATCCCTGACCATTGCCAGGTCTGGCCCAGAAAACAAACAACCCCTCCCTCAAACAAAACAAAAAAAGGGGAAAGACACCACAGAAAAGCATCTGTTCTTTTTTCTACCCTTTTGTATCTCTAAATAAGCCAGATGTCACCGATTCATTAAACAGGTCACTCAAAGACAATTCTTTCTTTTTTTAATTCAGAGCACCTCAGCTATGTAGAAACGTCAGAAATGAAATACTACAAAGTTTTCCATTTCCTCTCAATATTTATTTCTGCAACACTTCCCCAAAGTTTCATAAATTTCTAGATGTTTATGTATCCAAATATGTCCAAAAATACCCAAAGTCGTACTCAAATCATTGACCCCCAGTGGGTGCTCTTACCTCAAAATTCATTATGTGAGTGCCCCCAGAAGCAGGAAGAGGCACAGGGGCCTCCCCTAGCCTCCAAGGAATCCCAGCATGTGACACTCTAGAGTATGAACTCCTGCAGAAGAACAGCTCAGACTCCACCCAGTGCCCCATGCAAAGAAGTGTCTAAACTCTGTCTGCTCGTGCCTTGACTATTCTAAAATAGGGGCCACCCCCAGTTGTGCTGGGTGTGTAAGAGGGCCCTCGGGCCATGCCCATACCCCCAACAGGTGTTCAGGGGGCCATGCAGTGCCTGGCCTACACACTCAGGCCTCCTGCACACAGGCAGGTGCTCCACGACTTGTGCTCTGCCCCTAGTCCCTGTGCCATGGTTTGTCTGTCATTTTAATTTACACCTTGACCTCCATGAACCAAGTCGCTGGCCCCTGTATGTAGACAAAACTTTGAAATAAGGTAGAGGGTTTTTTTTTTTATCAACAAGAAAACAGGGACAAACAGAGGCAATGAAATATTTCTGGCCAAGGTAAAGGCCCTCTGTGTTGCCTCACTGGCCCTCTGCCCCATGCCCACCAAGGCAGTCAGAGGGGCTTCTATGACCAGCCAGGGCAATCCATTCTTGACCTTTCCCAAGTCCAGAAGGTATACAATGGCAACCCTGAGCCCATCCACCGGCAACTGCATTGACATCAGAAAGAGGCCCCAGAACTGCAATGCCATGCCAAGGGATGAGGGCACAGACACTGTGCTGGATGCTGGCAAAGTCAGATGTTATGGAAAAGGCCAGAAACAACACTGAATACTTAAAATACAAACTTTCAGATCTTCAGAGGCACACCTAGGAGTGTCCCAGCTTTGTTAACAGAAAAGGACTGTAATTTAGAATTTGTTAGCATCTGTCTGATGAAAAAAAATGTAGTTCAGATCATCTATTTATTTGGGCAAGGAAGAGCCCGGAAAGTTCCTTACACCATGTGACAGTTCACTCCAACAGTCTCTATGATAGATACAGACAGACTGGGTCTTTCTTCCAAATGGCATCTTCAATGTTCCTTTTAAAAGGAAATAATTTTAAATATTCGCCATTACCACCATTGGCAGCCCCACTTTCTTAGAACTTGCCACTCCAGCTCTGCCTCTTCTCCCTTGATGGTAACCCCGAAGTTCAGCGAGTACCAGAACCCAGCCTCAAGTCCTCTCCCTTTCCTTGCCCAGCTGCTCCTAGGCTACTCAACCTCCACACAGCACCCAAGACCCTGGGAATGGGCCAAGAAATGCCTTGAGCGTCCAGTAGGGGAGTTTCCCTTCTGTCCTTCTCTATTCTGGAACAGCTGCTTAATGGTTAAGGCCCGAGTATCACGTCTCCACACACAACAACATAAGTAGCACAGGAGATTTGCTTTTTAGAAATGAAGTTTCCTTTGTATGTGAGTATCGGGAAGACCATTTCATAGCTTGGAGAAATAGGGCCCCGAATAGACGCCTCACTCAGGGTTACAGTTTCTGTCAAGTAGCAGAACTAACGTGGGCACTGTGTCTTCTGAAGTACACCCCATTTTTCTCTCCAACTTATTCTTCCTAGGTCCAATTTCCCTTAAAAGTTCTATGAGTACAGAGAGCAAAGGGAGAAGCAGACTAAGAACTGCGGAACTTGCTCTGGTCTCCAACCCCCTTACTTCAGGGAGGCGACTCTCCTGGCTGGCAGCCCTGCATACCTATTGCTGAAGGGTAGTTGCATGTGAATATGCAGATATGTGTGCGTGCGCATGTATGTGTAATTCTCACAGGAGTATGGGTGTCACTGCAGTAACAGTGTAGATGAAGGCACTGACTGTTTCACACACAGCCCAATTTTAGACACTCTCATGCACTGCAACTGGAAATGAAATTTAGCAAAAACTAGAAAACTACTTCCAGTGCATTTCTCTTAGTCACTGCTTCTCTCTCCACAAATAAGAAACACTGTGTGCACAATATTAATTAACTCGTGGCACTGCTCCTAATGACAGAATTCTCAGCATGATGCAAATATCCACTTATAGAAGGTCAGTTAAATAAGGAATAATGGTACAGTCACACCACAGAGCACTGAGAAGTCACCAAGAAAGGGTTGTTAGAGCAGTGTGAAATGATTTCCAAGATGAGGTGTTAGCTGAAAAAGTAATATGCACAAGGCTGTGTCTTCAAATGCAACTTTTTTTGTGAAAAAGAAAAACTGTACACTTGGCTAATTTTATTTTATTTTTAACAGAGAACGAGGAATTACTGTTCATCCAGCAGTCAGAAGGGCTTGTTCACATGGGGACCCTGCCCTCCCGTTGTTCATCGATTTGCTTGAGCGGGTCCAGTAACATCTCCATTTAGAGACTTGTTGTTACTGTGTTTGGCATATTGAATACGTCACAGGGAGCTTGCCAGGCTTTGCTGTGAGGGCGAGATACTCTTGGTAGCTTGCCAGGCTCTCTGAGAGGGGCAGAACAATCGAACCCGCCTCGTCCGGACAGGCTGAAAGCAAGGCAAACGCCCTACCACCCTAATTCCCTAGACACCCTAATTCCTAGGGCTGGTGCTATTGCTCCAGCCCTAGGAATTACTGTATCTTTCACAATAAAAGCTAAAAAACAAGATGCTTACCCTATGGGAAATGAGGGGGTAGCAGAGACAGGGCCAAGACTGAGACTTCGGTAAGTATACTTTCTCATAGTTTGATTTTCGAATCATAAGTATTTTTCATATTCAAAACAATAAAGTTAAGTCAAAATGTATCCCTGTATCACTGTCATCCCATTGTTCATGAATTTACTCTAGCAGGCGCCAGTAACCTCTATTCGTCCCAGCCCTGAGATTTCAGCAGCCTCTCCTTACTTGTCTTTCCCAGCGATTGGCGGTTCTTTCAGGGTCAGGGGAATGAGACCTGTTATAGTTACTGATTTTGGCATATCAAATACGACACAAGTAGCTTGCCAGACTTTGCTGTGCAGGCGAGATACTCTCAGTAGCTTGCTGGGCTCTCCAAGAGATAATAATTTCTCTCTATGATCTGTTGCCTACTGTCTGAACTCCATCAAACATGGTGTAGTAATTATGGACAATGGGTAGAAAGTGTCCCATAATGTGTCACATGGTCTGGAAAGCAGCCTGGAGCATGGCAGCAGTTGGGTAGTGGAGGTTGGCTACCAGGATTGGGGCCCTTAGGGCAGGGAGGGCTCTCACCCACCCCTTCTGGAATGCCCCCAGTGAAAACAGCCCAGCATGGAGTCCAGTGGCATGGTTATGGGGGCCTCCTTTTATACTCCCATCTGGGAGGAGAAGCCGTGAGTTCTGGAGGGTGGCCGATGAGGAGGTCATCTGATATCAGCAGGCTTATGGGTGTGATCCCTGGGTCACCAGAGACTAGGGAAAGCAGACAGAGGATCTCTGATCCTGGTCCCATTGAGTGCAGAGTCCAAGGTCACAAAGTTCCGCATTACCTGGGATCTGTGTTACTTCACCCCTGCATGAGGCTCAACCGAGTGTCCAGATAGTGGCCTGAAGCGTGGCAGCATTTGAGTAATGGAATCAAAATGTATGGCTGTTTTTTTTTTTTAATTCACTCTTCGTGTGGCCCAGGATGTTTGTCCGCTGACCCACAAGCCTTCCTCCCTGGGATGAAAGGTGCAAAGGGAAGCTGCTGCTAGAAAATAGAGCCAAGAGCCCCAGGTTGGCAGTCATGTGCTGCCAAGGGTAAGTAAGTATGAGACTAGTAAGAAAGGTAGAATTCACCTATCCATTTTATGTCCACATCTAGCATAGAGCAATACTAGGATCTGGGGGAGAATGGGGTGGGGGCAGGGTGGGGGACGGTGCTGAGGGCAGTGCTGGGGGTGGGAGGGCAAGGATGGGGGTGGGAGGGCAGAGATGGGAATGGGGGCAGGGATGGGGCATGGCTGGGGTTGGGAGTAGGGCTGGGGCAGTGCTGGGGGTGGGGAGCAGGGCAGGAGCAGGGCTGGGGTCAGGGGGCAGTGCGGGTGGTGAGGATGGGTTTGTGGTGTGGTCGAGAGGGGAGTATGCAGGGAGGATTGGGAGGTTTTGGTTTCCAGAAAGCAGCCTGGCTTGAAAGAAGATGAGTGATAAAAGGCCAGCCATAGGACAAAGGTCAAAGAACCATGCCAGAACCAACTAGAAGCACTCAGAGCGAGGAGCCCAGACCCCAGGGAACTGGATTCCAATCCAGACTGCCTGATGCCAGCAGTATGAGCTACACATCTTCATGTCTACAGCAGGTTCTTCTCTGCTGAGTTCACAGGTGGCTCTGTGAAGTAACCGACTGAATATA